ACCTAACACAGAGCAGAATCTTAAAAAAAAAAAAGGGGGGGTTGAATGAGTCACTGCATCTGAGTAAGGGAAAGGCTTTGTAAATGGTAGTAACCCAACAGAATGTTGCAGTGAGTGTTATAATGGACAAAATAGCTAATGTGTCTGGTCTGTAATTGGTGCTTAACACTATGTGATTTCTCTCTCAAAAAAACCTTCCATCAAATGGCATTGGTGTGGATATATAAATTTTAGAATTTTTTTCAGGTTGGGGTGCTTGTTTGCACAATACTTAGCAAAGAAAAGAGGTATAGCATCTTTGAATTAAAATGCAAAACAACATTTCAGTGGCTAACTTAATGAGTCGCACCCAACCTATCTCCCAAAAGCATACAACACTCCACTTTCATGGGCTCCACACCTTTAGTTTGCTATGCTGTTCTGTAACTCCATTCCACAGAAGTTCTTTCAGATCTTTTTGGGGCCTGAATTAGATTCTCACTTTGAAACTCATTCAGAGAAAAGTGAAAATTATTTTCTTCTGTCACTCTTACTGATTGACCTCTTTAAAACCCTACTGTCTTCATAACCATTGCCAGACAATAAGATAATCCTGAGAGCAATAGACAATTATTACCATTTTAAAACCATTGTGCAGTTGCCTCCGAAATGAAATCATTGGGTATATGATCTTCAGTTATTATGGACATAAGCCATTCTCTGGCAACAAGCAGTGTAAGCAGATCATTTCTACAGAACAATAATGTTTAAAACCTTAATAGTGGCCAAGTAATAGGAGCAATTTTCCTAACAGAATTGAACTAAGGATAAATGAGCTGTCTGACAAGCTACTCTGCTGCACTGATATTTCCTGAACCGTTCAGGGACTTTATTTTATTTATTGTTTTATTCCGGATCTAGCACAGTTTTCCATTGCATGGGGGGTGCTCAGTAAATGTGTGTGAATTAGATGGATGAATAAACAAATGAAAGAGTTCTTATAAGCCCCTAGAAGAATGTCTCCTTGTCCTGTAAGTTAGTCCACCTGGTACCGTATTCTAGGTGGTCACTGCTTTTCTGCCCAAATCAACTGACAGCCTCACTTTCCTTGGTGGTTAAACAGACCTGACCTTCAAATCTTGGCCTGCCACTTCCTAAATGTGACAATGGTCCAGTCACTCATTCTCAGGCTCACTTTCATCATCTTTAAATCTAGTGCAATAATATGTAATAGTGATTTTAAAAGGATAAAATTAGCTAACATAAAATATCTGAAATAAACATACCTAGATAATCGATACAGAATTGTTCATTAAACCTAATGTGAACGTAATGTGCTCCTGTCATTATAAACAGAAAACATCTCACCTAGTCTGTTCCTTCTCAATCTCATTTCACAAGTCCCAGGCAGGGTAATCCTTAGAAGGGAAAAATGAATGCACCAGCAAAATATTTCTACTATTACGTCGACTAATCCCTTTTAGGAAAAATTTATCTTTTATTTTCAAAGTGCTTTCAAGTACATCACTTCTTTGAGACTCACAAGAGCTGTAAATAGTTGGTAGAACCAGAGTCAAGGCCGTGTTGTACAGATGAGAAAACTAAAGCAAAAAGAAATTCCGCAGGATCACATTTAGTGAAAGATAAAGTGAGGTCTTGGGCTCCAGCCTAGAATACTTTTCTCATATTACACAGCATTGAACAAAGGAATGGAGGCAGGAAAGCCAAGAAACAACCTGACCCAGATACATCTGCCAACCCCCATCCCACAGAAGCATCAGGGTAAATTGGGTAGCAGCCCCGTCTGAGCTCTCAAACCTGGCTTCTTAAAAGTGCAGAGACCAGTGATCATCTGTGATTGAGGAAGCAAGACTTTGAAAGGGTGGGATCTGACCCTCCTTTCATTCACTGTCTTGGGAATTAAGTGAGAAATGGTGGTATCGTGCAATTTCCTACCTATATGTTATCTCATCCCATTTAAAGCTTAAGCCAATCACTACCTCCCTGACTTGATATGGTATGTGCCTCCAATGTCCATTCCAACTCTTACATTATTTAGAACTGACCTGTCCTTGTGCTTGTAGGACAAGTGGCATGTGTTTAAACTGACCAATTTAAGTCTGGTCACAGTTTAGGAACAAATGTAACCAAAATTGGGCCAATAAGATTGGTCCAAGAAGTTTTCTGGGGGTGACAGAAAGAAGCTTATTAGGGCAATCTCTCCTACCTCTCCCTTTTCCTCTCTTCCTCTCTCTGTCCTGGAAAGTAGGGTGAGCCTGGAATTACCATAACCACTTTTCTACCTTCAGGAGAAACAGGTTTATGATACAGCTGACTTCAAAAATATCAGAGCATTGGGCTGGAGATTTAGCTCAGCGGCATAAGCACCTGCCTTGCAAGCAGGCAGTCGTGAATTTGATCCCTGGTACCGATAAAAAGGAAAAAGACAAAAAAAATATATATCAGAACACAATGATAGTAAGAAATCAGTTATTTGATGATGTCATTAGATACTGCTTTAAATGACTCTAAAACTTTCTTTAATCCTTAACATTCCCCCTTTATGAGAGCCAAGTAATACCATTTACGAATTTAACTAGACTGAGTTAGGTATATATAGTACATCCACTTTGTGATACTAGGATGAAATACCTAAGGTTAGGTAACTAACAAGGAACAAATGTTTACTTAGATCACAGTTTCAGAGGATCTCAAAGAAGTGATAATGTTATCAGCTCAGCTCTGGAAAGGATCTCATGGTAGATGAATGATGTCAAAATAAGAGAGAGAGATCACACGTTAGGATGGAAAGCTAGAGAAACACTGGGTCTGATGATAACTACATTAATCGCATTTGAGCTTACACATTCTATTGACCCAACAATTTCCCAGTATCCTCCACCTCTTTAGGATTCCGCCGCCTCCCTCATCACCACATTGTGGACAAAGCTTCCATCACAGAAAGCCTTGGGAGGCAAACTACACCTACACCACAGGAGGATTCTACATCTTCCAACATAAAGGGACTTGTCTTGGTTATGATAAGGTAAGGCTGTCATAACAACGAGATTCAACAGCACTGGAATATTTTGAACATCATTTCCCTCTCCTGGAAGAGCAGACCACTCTATTTTTTGTGTCCATTCCTCCTAAATCATTTCACTGTCATGCCCTATGACCTTGCCTTAATCTCCGTGGTCCAGATTGTGGACTCTACCTTGTAGAAGACGACTATGGAGCAATCTTATGTCCCACAGCCAAACATGATGCAAAACTACTGCTCCTTTTCTTTTAGGAAATCGATCTTTTGGCCACATCTACTGGTAACAGCCAGAGAGACTTGGAAATGATAGCAGCCAGATGCCTAAGTACGTATCTACTACCACAAAAAAAAAAAAAAAAAAAATCAAGGATAGATTTTGGTGGACTGCTAGCTGTCTTAGCCTAACCAACCATTATACATCCCATTTTCTTGAGGAGATATATTGTTCTAAGAAAATTTGTCTAAAATTTCATAAATGGTGATAAAAATTGGAACCCAGGCCTCCAATTCTCACCATCACACACTCCACAAAGTATTCTCTTCTTGCTTGGTTTTGGTGGGTGTTTTTTTCGTACAGGGGATTGAACTCACAATCTGGTGCTTGACAGGCAGGCACTAATGCTACCGAGCTAAATCCCGACACATTCTTGCTAGTCTATGTATGCAGCCATTCTCCTCCCCAATTCCAGCTCCTAAAATGACTTCATCGAGCACCAGTGAACATACGTGTCATAGGCTGCTAACCCCAGCTCTGGCAGTTAGCTGGTTCCTTGCAAAGATAGCTAGCTTCCTTCCAGTACTCCTGACTCTGACATACAGTTACCTTGTCCTTCTTGTGGAGGAAGTATTGGGTTAAGAATTAAGGTGATTGCTGTGGGGCTCTCTGGAAGTTCATCAAAAAGAACAGCTTGTGCTTTCATGGTTTGATTGTTTGACCATTTTTATGTCTAAATCTCATAATCTGAAGTACTTCTTCTAAGGTAATGGTATGCAATATATTAACTAGTGTTAATTTCCTACTTTTAAAAAAAATTCTGTATCGTTTGTTTTGTTTTGTTTTAACATTATAAAAACAAAGGAATTAAGGTGATTGTCCCAGGATGGCACACAGGAGCAGAGGTCTATGTGATCATACCCAGGTGAACAAGTTATTACTTGACAACTGCAAGAGGTAGGCTGAGGTTAAAAGCAGGGAGAGAGTGTGCAGCCCTCAGAAGAACAGGGAAAACACATATATGGAGTACAAACAGCCTCTAATGTATGTAAGAAAGCAAGCTGAAAGGGGAAACTGAGGATGCAGTGCAGATAAAGTGACTTTGGGTCATTTTGGATAAAAAATTTCAGAACTTTTCTGTTATTTAAAAAGTTTATACTCTAGAAGCCAGCAGTAGCAGTACACATCTATAAACCCAGCACTCAAGAGGCTGAAGCAGGACTGCCATCACTTTGAAGCCAGCCTGGGTTACATAGTGAGTTCAAAGCCACTCTGAGCTACACAGCAAGACCTTATCTCAAAAAAAAAAGTTAATATTCTAGTATTAAATTGATACCACACTGCTTTAAAAAATAACAATAGAGCTACAAATTTTTAAAATTTGCTCTCTTGACCTATGTCTCAATTCCTTTCCACTAAAATACCAAATATTATAAATATCTTGAATATCCTCCTGGGCATATTTCATGCATATAGAAGCAAATACAAGAATATCTGGTATTCTTTCTCACCAACAAAATATCTGAAGATCTTTTAGTATCTGTACATAAAGAGTATCCTCATTTCTTATGCTTGTATCATATTCTATTACTTGCATATGCCATGGGTTACTGAACTAACTCCTTATCAATAAATATCCAGTCTCCTACTTTTACAAACAAGGCTGCAACATGTAATGTATTCTCTATGTTAATGAATAAGTTACAGAATAAATTCCTAGAGCTGGTTTAAAATTGAAGAATAAAGACAATCACAGATTTGAAAGATATTTCCAAATAACCTTACTTAAGGTTGTAATATTTATTTTCTCATTAGAAATGCATGAGAACCCCTCTCTATTTACATTTTATTTGTTGTTTTGTTTTTTTACAACATTGGGATTGAACTAGGGTCATTAACCCATTGTGCTAACCTCCTAGCCCCTCACTTTTTTTTTTTTTTTCCGAGATAAGTTCTCACTAAATTGCCCAGGCTGACCTTGAATTTGCAGTCTCCTGCCTCAGCCTTCCCAGTAACTGGGATTTCAGATGTATACCATCACACACCCAACTTCCCTTTATACTTTTACCAAGAGTTTATTGTTAATTTTACATTGCCAATCTAATACTTGAAAAATGGATACTATATCAATTTATGTTTTTGTTTTTGTGTTGTTGAGACAGGGTCTCACTATGTAGTTCAGATTGGCCTTGCCCTCACTATGTAGCCTAAACTGGCCTCAAACTCACAGTGATCCTCCTGTCTCAGCCTCCCAAGTACTGGACTTATAGGCATGCACCATCACATCTGGCCTGTATCAATCTAATTTCTATTTACCTTGTTATGAAGTAGCTATCTTTTAATATGTCTGTGATAGCTAACTGACTGTCTCAACTTGGATAAGAAATGCCCAACTAAATTAGATCAGTGTAGTTTCGGCTGTGGCTGAAGGGACTGACTGAAGATGGTAAATTCAGCATGGGTGTGAGTGACAGCAACCAACAGGATTGTAGCCTGAATGGAATCAAGGAAACAGGAAGAAGGAAGGCTCACTTCTGTTTCCTCAGAGGAGCTCCAGACTTCGCCTTCTCTCTGGGCATCGTCTCTTGGCTTCCAGTGCAGATTTTTTGCAGACTTTTCAGCCTCCAGAACAGGCCCTTTGGCCTTGCAGTGTAGACCCCCTGGCCTCCTCATGCAGATTCAAGAGGGACATTACAGTGAGCTCCAAGCCTTCAACCAGATCCTGTGGACCTCCAGAGCACAGATAGCCCTTTTGCTGCCTTCCACACCTGACTGCACAAAACACAAAACAACACAAAAGCCAATCTTATAAATTCTTACACACTTCTACAATCTGTACTAAATCTGTTTGTCTAGTTAGCACTGACTGATACAATGTTTAAGAAACACTTCTTCCTTTGTCTATGGATTTTGCTTTTTGTACATCTTTCATTGAGCTTATGTTTTTTTCTTACTGATTTGTGGGATGCTTTTCACATATAAAGACTATACCCTTGCTTAGTCACTGAATTGCACATAGTTCCCATTTTTATGATTGTCTTTTGACTTTGTGATGGGTTTTGCATTGCAGAAAAAATATTTTTTATGCTTACTCTTTGAGGCATCTCATGAAAATGAGATGTGTTAGTAAAATAAGCCAAGCTTTCTTAGGTAGGTAGGAGCAGCATGAACTAGGGAGAACATTACTACTGAAATTTTCCTGTTCCGTGTGATCCTATCCTTAATTAGGCCCTAGTAATGACATTGTCACACACTCAGCCCACTGGATAAATTAAACTCACTAACCATGACTTCCAGCAGTCACAGAGGGCAAAGGAAGCCAAGTTTCCTGCCTTTTGGCTTCCAGCTAAACCGGAGAGAAAAACAGTGCTCTGAAAAGCCCTGGAGAATCTGTTGACACATCAGCTCTCATTCTTCCTGAATCTACTTCCTCTAGACAATTCAATTACAAAACTCCTTCCCAGGCAGTCATTCAGTGAGGGAGACAGGGCCACAGAAGAACAGACCAAAGTATGACTTATTAGATGGTCGGGAACAGAAAATAAAAGAGTAAATGGGTAACAGGAAAAACTGCACTGCGTGCGAGGGGCATTTCACAGCAGGAATGAAATTACTTCTGCCTCAAGCAAGCAAGCAGGTTTCCTCATACAAGCAGGAAGGAGCCCTTTTCCAAGGGCCAAACATCAGTTACCACCGTGAATTTCTGGACCCCAGAGACTGTAACAATGTAGTGTGCTGAGGCAGGGAATTGATGTCCCTTGGAAGGTCTAGGAAGCAAAAGCAAGCAGCAGTTCTGTAACATCACCAAGAAAGTGTGCTAAGGCAGCTTTGGGAAAGGTTCTGATTCCTTCTGCACTTCTCTGTCTGCTTTCTAACAGTTACCGCAAACCCCCAAATCCAGTCTCAACAGATCAACATCAGAGCGAATTCTAAGTCTGCCTGTGGAATTCAGGCAGCCCTGTCCCGAATACCGCTTCCGAGTGGGTAGTCCAGACCTTGGAATTACACTGCTGCCTCGCTCCACACTTTCTCTTTCTCCTGTGCACCCCTTTCTCTGCATTCTACAGCACTGTGTCCTGCCTGTGGCCCTGGCTTCTCCCTGGCTTCCTGACTGGCACTGGGTGCCTGCTCTCACTAAAGTGTTGCCTTGAACTTCAGCCTCCTTGGCAAGGGCACCAACAGCCTGGCTGGCCCTCAGCCACCATCCTGTTCCTCTCAGCAACTGGCCAGAGTCTGGTTTCAATCCGGATGGTCCTCCCCTTCCCTACCCCCGCGCCCCCCCTTCTTCCTGACACCAACTGAATATTTCCATTTTCCAGCGTTCCATTTGGCCCCTGCTGTATTCCTCCCCCTCCACCAGGTGGGAACTCACAGAAAGCTGCCATCAAGGCCAGATTCACTACACACAAACAACAACTCCACCCCCTTTAAAAAATGACTACATTTACTCACTTTCATAGTAAGAAATGTGGAAATAGAAAGACTCCAGGGCCGGTTAACTCCATAGCTCACAGGTATCATTAAAGACCAGGAGCCTCTCCTCTTTCTGCTCTGGAATCCCTGCTCTGCTGCTACTCTTTTCATGACAGGGACAAAGCAGCCCTAAACTGTCGGTGGTGGGCTGGGTTTGGCGCCCACAGGCTCCCAAGAGCCAGCAGTCAAGCTACTGACAGTGCAGATCAGCTGTAGTGGCAGAAGCCACAGCACAGCAATGGCCATAGGGACATGCTGCAAAGCGGGGCTTTGTGTTATCGGAAGGCATGCGATCAGCCGGCCACTGCTTCACACCCTCAGACAGCAACACCTATAGTCAGCAAAGGTCTGCTTCTCAAGTAACATCTTTTCTCAAGGGCAGAGAAGCTCTTTATGTAGGCCTCACAGAGAAGTTCCTCCTCCTCCTCAACCCCAGTCCCTGTCCTCTCGGCCTGCACACGTCTCACCCAAAGACTGGCAAATGACAGAATGATGATGATTCCTCTGAAGTGGATGAACACCTGATTCCTGAAGGGTCAGGTTCCCACTGCAGGAAATAAGATGGAGAGTGGCCTCTGGGTGGACAATCAGCAGGTGTGTGACACACACACACACACACACACACACACACACACGCATTCTCCCAGTGGATTCTCTCTCTGTCCCCACCCACCCTGGAGCTTCCAGCACACTTACAAAATGTATGAATTGTGATAAACCCCTCCACAAAAATAAAATAACAGAAATTTTTTGAGAGGTAATGTTCTTGGGTTCTGGGCCTACATTCACTCATGTGGTTCAAAACACCTTAGCTTCAGGGGCTGGAGATTTAGCTCAGTGGCATAAGCGCCTGCCTTGCAACCAGGCAGTCATGAGTTTGATCCCCAGTACCAATAAAAATGAAAAAGACAAAAAAAAAAAAAAATCACCTGGCTTCATTGAATTACTATCCAATGGATAAAAATTGTCATGTTTTTCCACTCAGTACTATTTCTTTTATAAATACATTCATATTTAAAAGTGATTAAATGTTAGCCAGAAAGAGAACACATTTATTTTTATGTGTTGACATGCTGTTTAAATTGAGTTCGATAAACTCAAGACTAGCTCTCATTAACCAATTGATTCAAAATTAATTTTTCTCCATTCAGACTTACTCTAATCCTGGATTTCTCTCCAGCAGGAATGGACTAAGTTGAAACTCACCTGAGTCTTTGCCTGGAGGCAGCTTCTGCGGCTGCAGAAGGGCACCATGGCTGAGCCCCATGCCCTCTGTCTTTAGTGGTTTTCCTGCATAGAGACTCCTGACTGCTCTCTGATCACCCAAGAAAGTGTCTAGTGGCCTTTCTCTGAGTCCCATCCAGCTTTGCACACCTTTTCCCTTCTAGTAATGAAAACGGAAGTAGAAATCTTCTGACCCTCACTCAGCTCATGTTCACCATGAAGAGTTACACTTAAGTAACCTTGTAAATCAACTTCTGTGGTCCACAAAAGGAAGCACAAAGGCCACTTCATAGCATCTGTGCACACACTCTCTCCGGAGCAGCACATACAAGGACCAAGTGAAAAGTTACAAGCATTGGGAAAAAGAGAAATCATTTCTAGGCAGCTCAGAAATTTTGCTCTCTTTATTAATGTTTTCCACAATTTTAGTATAATATGAAAATTTTCAAACATACAGACAAGTTGAAAAGGTAGTGCAAGGAACATCATGGTCCCATCAAGAGAGATTTAACACTCTCTGATATTCTGAATTATTATCTAAGTATTTGGCTATGCGTATTAAAGGAGGATTCAGTCATTGCAATATTTCAACTTCAATATCTCTGTACTCTCAACTTCAATATCTCTGTATCTTTTTAAAAAGTACTTTCATCTGAAATCACGATACATTTATCAGATCTAAAATAATAATTCTCCAATAGTCTATAAAATCCAGTTAATATTAAAATTTTCTGATTATTCACCCCTCAAAAAAACTGCAACTGTTTTTCACAAACAAGGTTCATAACATTGCATTCAATAGTTATATCTCTTAAAATTTTTTTAATCTAGAAAAGCTTTTCTACTTTTGTCTTTTTTCATAAAGTTGACCTTTAAAAACAGTAGATCAGGCAAATTCTTTGCCTGATTTTTATCTCAGGGCATTGTCCTACTTGTTTTCTAGCTTTGATGTCCTATTAAAACCAAGGCTTGCTCAGATTCAGGTTGAATTAGTCAGAGCCCTGAATAGAAGCAGCTGGCCGCGTCGGAGAGTTTAACTGAAGATATTAAGTGAAGGCACTGTTTACAGATATGCAGACAGACACAGGGAACACCGGGGATGATGGAGCTTACAAGGACCATATCCCAGGCCTGAGCATCCTGGGCTGTTGAGAAGGGCTGCAGGAGCTGGGAACTGAGGAGAGCTGCCCAACCAGAGTCTAGATGTGTGAGGAACACAGCCACCACCTAGGCAGCCCCTGGCAGAAACACCAAAATGATGTTCAGAATTTGGAGGCAGATTTATTTACATCAATGGGCACTGATTGAAATCATTCCCAAAATATCAGGCCCTGATGTCTGGTGGCCTTGGGCTTTTGTATGATGCTAAAGCAGGATGTACAAAGGTGAAACAGAATAGCCTGGCAGTTCTTTTGGTTAGCTAGAGTGAGATCATCAGTTACACGGGTAGATTAATGCCCTTCCTTCCGAATCAGGCATTTGGTATGTTCAGTTATGCTCTCATGGTTACAGGGTCAAGAAAGTAATTACAAAGCCATGAAGCAGGTACAGAGCTAGGCAGTTTCAAACGAACAAAATTTTTAAAAGAACAATTTCTCTTGTACAGATTTTCCCTCTAACCACCTAGGCAGCTACCACCTAGGTGGGAGGGAGGTGGTGAAGTGTAAGTACCACATCTTTCTCCTCCACCCTTATATGTTCTGCTGGAATGTCCCCCACCCCACACTGGCCAAATCCAATCAAAAGCCAAACTCCAAAGGAGGCTTGATGGTAACAGTTTGGAGAAAGAAGTTTCCATTGGGGCAGGGCTAACTGGAAAATGCAATTGGATATATAAAGGAACAAAGGAATGACATACATACAGGTTAATGTTTTTGACTAGAATACTCCCAAAGGTCAGGCTGTGAATTTCAGAGTACACAACATCAGGAAAACACAGTGTTAGGTTTTCTCAACACCAAAGAAGCTAATTTAATGTGCATTGTAACATGTTGATTTTTTTTTTAATTTTTTTTATTTTCCTACTTGGTTGAAAATTTAGTATAATAAAGATAGTTGAATTTTAACAATTTCATAGGGTTCCAATGAAAAACTTAGAACACCTACTACCTAATACTTTGGGAAGGAAATCTTTCCTCAACCAGAGAAAATTACCCACTCCTGCTGAAAGGACAGGTTTAATATTTACTTTTTTCTTTTATGTCCCAACTATTAAGGTGAGAGTCATAGCCAAGTGTGTTAAATCATAGATCACTAAAGAAGTGAAAATTATTTTATTTTATTTTGTCTTTTTCCTTTTTATCGGTACCAGGGATCGAACTCACAAGAAGTGAAAATTAAAACAACACGAGATTCAATATTACTCCAGAAAGAATGACCATTATCAAGAAATCAAATAATAGCAAATACTGGTAAGGTTGTGGGTGGGGAGTGGAAGGAGCCCTTCTGCACTGGTAGCAATGTAAACTAGGACAGTCATTGTGGGAACCAGTATGGAGATTCCTCAAGAAACTAAAACCAGACATTGCATTTGACCCAGCTATTTCCCTTTTAGGTATCTTCCCAAAAGAGTTAAAAACATCATAGAATAGTGATTCACATCTCTCAATGTTTATAGCAGCACGATTCATAATAGCTAAATCTTGGCAGCAGTTTCTATGCCCCTGAATGGATGAACAGATAAAGAAAATGTGGTGTGTTCGTAAGTAAATGGATGCACCTTGAGACCATAATATTAAATCAAATAAGTCAAACACACAAGTTGAAATATCCCATGGCTTTTCTTATAGGAGAAACTCAGAGTGTAACTATAAAAAGCAAAATAAAAGATATGTAATAGGAAGTAGAAAAATCTTTCCCAAATAGGAAGGAGATCAAGAGATGGAAAAAAGGGGGAGAAAGGGGACAGAAAGGGATGAAAAAAGAATCAAGATCTGTTACGTACAGGGATCGACTTCCCACAAGGAATGTAATCGATATATAATGTAAGCATGCACTAATAAAAAACAAAAACAAAATAATGAACGTGGAGCTGGTGCATGTGCTTTGCTTGTTTGGTTTGATGTGGCACTGAGGGTTAAACTGGAACCTTGCTCAGGCTAGACGAACACTCTACCGAATCCAGCCCTTTTCTTATTTTAGTTTGAGACAAAGTCTTACCAAATTGCCCGTCTGCCTCAGATTTACAGTCCGCCTTTCTTACCCTCCTAAATACCTGGGATCACAGACGTGCACCACCACAGCCAGCTGCTTCTCTTCTCTTCTCTTCTCTTTGCTTTCCTTTCCTTTTCTTTTTTTCTTTCCTTTTCTCTTCTCTTCCCTTCCCCTCTCCTCTCTTTTCCTCCCTTCTCTCTTTTCTCCCTCTCTCTCTCTCTCCCTTCCTGTCTCGCTTTGCCTCTGTCTCTGTCTCTGTCTCTGTCTCTCTCTCTCTCTCCCTCTCTTTCTCTCATTTTTCTTTTTTATGTCCATATACAGGTTTTGGAAGTGGGAATTCCGGCTTTTTGGTAGGCTCCTATTAATCTTGGATAGTTTCCTTTCTTTTTGAATGGTGGGATGTGCCAGGTGTCCCTAAACTATGGTTCCCTCCCCAGTACTTCAGCAATCCTTGGTTCATTTTGGTAGAAAATGGCATTTAGAAATCAAGGTCTGGGTACTAAGGTCTTCACAATTATTAAGATGTTATTTCTTCTAGGTCCTCATTGTGCACAGACCCTATGAATAGACAACACGCAAACGTATCTTTAAATCAGCCCATATTACCATTTCCAATTTAAATTTAACATTCTCAGCTTGTCAGAAATTTATGTTGAGGAGCAAAATTTTGAACTGCACTTGAAAGGTGTGTACAATATCTTTTTTAAAAAGTAATTTCTGGGGAACAGTGAGAGACTGATTAATGGGTACAGGAGCATAGTGAGGAGAAATAAGTTCTAGTGTTCGATAACATGGTAAGGATAATCATGGTAGACAACAGTTAACTGAATATTTCAAAATAGCTCATAGAATTTTAGATGTTCCCAAAACAAAGAAATGATGTTTCCGAGGTAATAAGTACACTGATCTGATCATT